TCCTCGGCTGGGGGAAGTTTAATTGATGGCATCTTCCCTCTGTTTGTCATGAATTTTGCTGATGATGCTATACAAAAATCTCTTTTTTTTTTTTTTTTCCTACGCATCTCACAGCTCTGCCAACAGCAGCCCCTGGGAGTGATGCAGCAAGGCCACGGTGCGGAACAGCCCATGCCACTGCACTGAGCTGGCACTGCCCATCTCCTCTCGGGGAGCAGCTTCATCTACTCTTCACAAAACCTCTCCAGATCTTTGCTCCTAAATTTATCCAGGCAAATCCTGAACGAGTACACCTGCGCATGATGAAATGTTCTGGGCATGGGCTTGTGCTCCTGGCAGGAATGTTAATGGGGGTGATGCTGCAGCGAGCAATGAGGGAAATGCGATTTTTTGGGGTGGGAGCGGGTGTGTCAGGGTCCTTCCCCAGGCCTTTGGGATCTGTTTGGGTTCCGGTGATGGTGTGGGCAGACTGTTACCTGTCTGTCTGATCCATCTGGTTCATGTAAGGATGCCCAGTGCAGTATAGCAAGGGGTGGATGCTCAGATTTCTTTATTTGTTGCAAGTTGTCCCAGAGCTGAGCAGGTGACAGGAAGAAATGATGGGTTTTGAGGAGGGGAGCGTGGATTTTGTCATAAGTTGGGAGGGGCTGCGCCGCCCCCCCTTGCTTCTCTCCCACTCCCAACTGTAAAAGAGAAGCCCTCTTCATCACGCCTTTCTTCCCTCTCTGTGTACACATACCATTCCTGCCTCTCCCCGTAGCCAACCTCCCGCAGCAGTAGTTAGTTTAAACAATAGGTCTTTCATTTCCAAAGATCTTCCACCATGGCCAGCCCTCCGGTGGGTTTTAAACAGCGAGGGGAAGTCGGGATTGTTTCTGTTCCCACGCCCCTGCAAAGGAAACAGATGGAAGCCCCCGTGAGTCGATGCTCTTTAAAATGAAGCTGCAGAAACCGCAAAGCACAGTTGGGAGCAGCCCGTCGGGGGTAAGAAGCGGCCGTATCTCATCCCTCTGGATTAGCTTTCCTGGCTGGATGCCGTGCTCCTGGTGATGCTTGCTGGGGTGGGAGCCACTGCACCCCGGCACAGCGCAGGAGCACTTCATCAGCCTTGAAATAAATGCACCTCCCTCCTCTCTGATCTCAGGTCGGAGCTATCTAGGGCATGTTTTAACTGCCGGTGTCCTTTTAATTAAACACGGATGGGAAATGAGGGATTGATTCCTGGCTTCTCTGTTGGAGGTTGCGTGCACCGTCTGCCTCAGCCCTTTTCCCCCACCCTGCAGCGTGGTTTGGTTGGGATGCCAGGTAAAAAAGCCATCCCATTTTGGAGCAGTTTTTAATCTCGCTGGGCCGTGACGCCCAACAATATCGCCTTGTGCTAATATTTGCTTTAGGAAGCATTTGGCTCCGGCTGCTGTGGCAGTGCAGCTGAAGGCTTCTGCTCTGTCGCAGCGCCCTGCTCCCCTCTCTGAGCTGTGACAGGGCTTGCTTCAGGTTCGTCCTTTTAGTGTGTCTCCCATCCTGGCAGGGCTGGGAGATTAAAGAAACCAGAGAGTATAAACTTGTTCTCATCTTTCACACCAAGCCAGCTGATGCGCCGCAGCGTAAGCCTGCAAGAGGGTATTTGGGCCGCTGAATTTGGTTAAAGATTTGCATGTCTTGCCTTGCCAGCCCCTTCCCTGGGTTCACATCTGTCTTAGTTGCAGCGTTTGCGAGAGGTTAGGTCCCCAAGGAGGGCAAGACGGACATGTCCCAAGTCTCCTCTTGGCTGTTCAAGAAAGAAAAGCGCCGAAGAACTGTCACCACATCCTCAAACCGAAAGCCCCTGGAAGAAGCTGTGCCGGGATGTGCACCGGCAGCATTTCACTGACCATCTTACAGTTCACTTGGATGCTCCAGGCAGCGCGTGGATGCTTCCTTCCTCTCCCATCCTGCGAGCAAAGGGCGAGCTTCCTGGTGAACTTAACGCTCCCCTGAGAAAGGCAGCTGCTTTTTTCTGCCAGCCTTCGCAGGCTCTTTGCAGGCGGCGTGAGGAGATGCACGAGGTGGCACTTGGAAACTTGGCTCCCAGTCGTGTCGTGAAGCTCTAGGTTAAACAAGGAGCCGGCGAGGGCTTCTCCTGGCTCGTGGCTTGGCTAGCGCCGGGGGGGAATCTGCATTAGTTTGTCTTCCTGCCTGACAGATTTGGGAGTGTGGGGATAGAGATGGAGCCGCTGCGGATGGCACACAGTCCCTCCTTCTTTCCTCCTGTGATGAAGCTTCCCAGTTTAATTAGAGCCAGCAGTGAGAGAACCTCAATCATCTTATTCCTTCACAGCAGGGCACCAGTAGCGTTTCTTGGATGTCAAAAGGAGGATTAAATTAGTCTGCAAGTGAGGGGTTTTTTTTCCTCCTCCACATCTCTTGGCTCTCTGGGAGGGTGTTAAGCCTCCAAAATCACTGTGGTGATCAATGCCTTTGACATGGCATGCACTCCCTGATTACAGCAGAGCTCCCTGCCAGAGGGGTTATTTGCAGCTTTCTGGGCTGCAAATCTGTGGGTGGGTGGGTGGAGAAAAGCAGGAATGGAATTACTTGGGATAATAGCACCTTTCCCAGGTGTATTAATGAGTAAAGGAGGTTTGTGGAGGTGCAACCTTCCCAAAAGCGATCTGTGCCCTGTTCCGGCTGCGGAGGCTGCGGGACTTTTGGCAGGGGACAGGCGATGGCAGCTGGGAGCGAGCTTTGCTCTGCTGAGCTTGCCCTGGCAGGCAGAGCAACTGCTCCGTGGGTTTGTTTTTTTGGTTTTTTTTTTTTTTTTCTCGACTCGGTGTGTCTAGAGAGGAGCGTGTGCCTCCCCAGCTTGGAGCCGGCTTGCCAGGGTGTGTGCTGGCACCCCAAGCGCGGAGCAGGGGTCCAAAAAAAGCAAGAAATCTCGCTCGGATCAGTTGCCCATCTGCAGGCAGCTATGGACTGATAATATCCCTTCGAGCCTCCTCTGTGTGCTCGCTGGACACGGCACGGCAGGGTGCAGGGCTTGGGCCATCCTGGCACGTTCTTGCTGGGCCTTGTGGGCCTGTAAAAACCTTATCTGGGGGCTAAGCAGGAGAATGAAGTCTGGAGCTGAGCTGGGAAAACCAGGAGAGCAGCAACCTTTTCCTTTTTCCCAGTGTCTAAATGTCAAGGGTGAACTACAGCAATCCCTCTTTGTCTGGCATCTCGGGTCCTCTGCTCAACTGTGCTTCCTCCAAAAGAGGAAAAAAAAAAAAAAAAAAAGAAGGCTTCCCTTGCTGCAGTGAGGCCCCGAGAGGCTCTTGCCTCGTTTGTCAGCCTCGTCAAACCCTCATTTTACCCCTGCAGTGATCGATGCTGCGCGGCTCCGTGCTGAGCGGTCGGTTGGAAGAGCTCTCCACGCTCCCCAGCCTCTCCTCCGCAATCTCTGCGCTGCCTCGGCAGCGTGGAACGGTTGCTGACGTCTCCCCACCGAGCTGCAAGAAGTTTTATCAGCCCTGGCTGTGCTCTGAGCAACGATGTTCACGCTCAGCGCCAGAGCTGGGCGCTTGGCGTACCGAGGGTCTTGGAATACGCACGTTATTTTTTTTTCCTCCTCCCTGTTTTGGGTTCTGGAAATGGGATTTTGCTGAAACGCTGAAGATCTTGTTGTTGTTTGTAATAGCAAGCGTTTCCTCTGCGCGTCCTGCTTGGTAGCTTCATTGCGGGGGGCCGAGCGCTGCATGGTAGGTGCGAGCACGCGGAGCGGAGTGGCTGGCGTCGTGTCTCCAAGTGCTTTGGAAAATGGATGATTACCTAAAGGCTTTTTCCACCCCCGCCCCGCCTCTTCCTCAAAAAAATAAGGAATCATTTTGAATCTCCATGGGAGCAGGAGGGTTCCAGAGGAAGAAGGACTTGATAAAATCAAGTATTTGATGTTGAAGTAAACAAACCTGTATTGTTCGTCCAGAACTGGAGTTTTGACTACAAACAGGAGAAATCCTGACAATGCCCTGCGGCAGGCGTCAAACGCTTGGGAGTCAACGCCAGTTTCCTAGACCACTTTTGATGTCTGTATATGTAATTTGCTATCCATTTTGGACCAGTTTGGGGCAAGATAATCACTAATTTTGGCTGATCTGTATGTCCCGCATCCCCGGGTGCTGCCACTTGCTTTACCACACCAGCATGGGGCTGGGAAGGAAATTTTCCTCTCCGTTTTGGGCTGCAGGGAAGGCCACTTCTGGGTGGATTTAATAAGGCGCTTATCTTTCAGCTCGGGCGATTGAGTGTTAGGGAGCAGGGGTCTTTTCTTAGACCAAGCAATATTTAGAAGAAAGCTGATAAGCCCTTCACACAAGTAGCCAAAAGCAGCCCTGTCTTTACAGCTTGTCAAACATCTCACCTTTTCACTAGTTTTAGAACAGGCGTCAGAGGCGCTTTGATAAATGGATTTGAAAACTTTACTGTAGCTTCTGCAGATCTCTTTATGCTCCGCTTACAAAGAATTCAAAACTCCCATGCCCTAGATCCTGAGCTCCTCCAGCATTTCCCCTGGGAGTGATGGTTTAGGGCTTTGAGAGGTCTCTGCTCTCTCCAGACTCTGTTCTTGTGCTGGCTGCTGTGAGCAGAGTGTGTTCATTCTCTCTTCACTTGCGTTTTGCCGTGTGTGAAACCGAAGCCTTGGCTCAAAATGGAGTCGAGAGACAATTCCGCTGCTTGCTTTTTCCAGCGAGTGTTGGAGTTGGAGCTGTGTGTTGTGATTTAAGGAGCTGTGTAGCTTCTGTTGTGTGAGGAATATCCTGACTGAGCCGTGCTTTGGGAGGGTAGGAGACACTTGGATTTTTAGTGGGGCAGTGTTAGCAAAGAGCCACGTCTTTTCAATGTGCTTTGGGCTGTTCCTGCCACTGCCTTTCTCTTGCAGACGCTCTCTGGATCACCCCTCTTCCCTTTCTGTCCCAGGGACTTGCTGCAAGGAGCTTTCACCAGTTAGTACCATGCCTGATTCCTCCTCCCTTCTTTTTCTACAGCTGGTCAGTGAGAAGGTCGGAGGGGCTGAAGGGACCAAGCTAGACGATGACTTCAAGGAAATGGAAAAAGTGAGTAGGAAACGAGAGATCTCTAAAATAGCCTATCTAAACTGTTTGTGACTTTGCTGACACCCTGAGCTGACCTTCACGACTGCTGGGTCATCTTGTCTTTCTACAGAAAGTGGACCTGACCAGCAAGGCGGTTACAGAAGTATTGACCAGAACAATAGAGTACCTCCAGCCGAACCCAGGTGAGTGCCTGGACCTCTCCTGTCCTCCTCCCTCTGTCCTCGAGTTTTCCAGGGAAGGAGGCAGAGGGGGCAGAGAGGCATCAGAGAACCTTTTTGGCCCTGAGATATTGGTCACCAGCCCACATTCAAGATTAGGTGACTCAGGTGAAGACCCAGATACCCCTGGTGCCTCGTGCTGTGTTCCTGGGCTGTAAGATGCAGCTGTTGCTGTTGAACGGTGAAAGAGCAGACACATTTTTAGCCTTGCACCTAGAGAGGCCCTGAAGGGGACCTGTTTTTCCAGGAGTGTCCGGAAAAAGTGGTGTCTCCGGGCTGGGAAGGGATGGCTGGCTTTGTAGGCATTGCTTCTGGAGCTGCGTGCTTCCAGCCAGCCCGTTCAGAGAGCACTCCAGGGACGATGGGAGGGCTGGGGAAACTCCTTTGGCCTTCACTGGTGAGCTGTGGGGAACTATTTTTGCTTGCTGTCTTGGAAAAGAAACTTCTCTTTTCGTAGCAAATGGTATTTCTGGTAGATGAAGACAATAGGGTTTCTTGGCTTTGGGTGTATCTTTGGAAGGGGAAAAAAAAAAAAAAAAAAAAAAAAAAAGTTGGCAGTGGCCAGCAGCTGCTGGCAAGTCGAAGTAATTGCAAACACGGCTGTGGCTGTTTCTGTGCCAGCTTCCAGAGCCAAGCTAACCATGCTCAACACGATGTCGAAGATCCGCGGGCAGGTGAAGAACCCCGGCTACCCGCAGTCGGAAGGGCTGCTGGGGGAGAGCATGATCCGATACGGCAAGGAGCTGGGCGAGGACTCCAACTTCGGTGAGTGTCCCATCGAGCCAGCTCCCCCCAGGGGCATGCGGATGAGATGGAGAAGGCTGCTGCCAAATGAGAGCCTGCTTCCAAGCTGTTATTCTAAATTCTGGAAGGGTCTGTGTGACCCTTTGCATCGCCTGACAGGACTGGGGCTAAAAGTGGTTCCAAGGCTTCCACCCAGGGCGGCTGGGGTGGGCAGAGCCCAAGTGTCCTGGATCCCAAACCACAGCATTATGTGCAAAGCCACCTCTTAATGCTGTCTTATTAAACGCTGAGATAAATTTGCATGTGAGAAAAAAATGCTTCCTCGCTTCTAAACTGAACAACGGTGGTGTGGAAACTAGACTGAGCGAGATTGAGAGTTTTATGGTGCAGTTTCCAGCCAGAGCTCTGCTATAGGGAGGCCGTGGCCAAGAAATCGTTTTGCGTGGCAATTTCTCATAACCACGTGTGACTTGCAGGGAGGAGGGGGGTGAAGCCTTTCAGTGACGTCAATTTTAATCCACTAAAACATCAGCCTGTGCACGTGACAGACCCGGTGCAGTGCACAGCTGTCTGATGGCTTCCAGTGCAGGGAGGAGCCTTCTTGCCTCAGGAGAATTAAAAAGCTCTGGCCGCTTCTGGACTCTCAAGAGTGTCTCTGGCCAACTCAGAGCCCTGCATCTCTCTTGGCTTGCAGGAACCAGAGTTGTTACAGAGAGCAAGGGGGAAGGAAGTTTTTAGAACAACACACCAAACCTTGGTTTCCTTCAATAGCCTCTCTTTAAAGGAACACTTAACTTGATAAATGTCTTTGTTAGTACTGCATCCCTCCCTAGGACAGGTTATCTGGACTTATCACGATTGAAATAACTCTTCCTGTATATTTATTTTTTCTGCTGGACAGTAGAGTGGTGTTTTCACTTTACCCTCTATTTCACTTGTGTATTCTCCTCTGCTAATGTAGTGCTGAAACGGTCAGTTTGCCAAAGCTGCACAGGAGTAATTTAATCTATAAATGGTTTCCACTGGAATAAAAAGCCAAGACTAAATATGCTTTGCTGCAAGTCCATCTGGCTTAACTGTCATTGTGGCAGGAGCCTCAGAAAAGAATTGAAACTAAATAGGTTTCAATAAGCAACTTTGAGCTCTGTAATTCAGAGGGGAGGAGAAGGGATAAGGTTGGCCGGGTAGAGGTTAGTGTCAGAAATGAATAAAAGGCTGCAGGTTTGCTGCCAGCCAGCATCTGGGGAAACTTGAAAAGTTGGTCAGAGCACTCCGGACTTAAAATTGTCTGAACAAAAGGATAGCCAGGCTGGATCAGACCGATCGTGCCTCTGCCCCAGGCTTCTCTTGCCAGCCGTGGCCAAGGAGCAGAGCAAGGTTAAAGCACTGCATGGCCAATTAGCAGCTCCGCAACTCCCTGAGCTAACAGGGAGTTTAAAAATACTGATTTTTTAAAAAATATTTTTACCTTTTCCTTCCTCTGTGTAGTTGGTAGAGCTTGTTCCTGGCTTGCAGAGGGAAAAAAGGAAGCATGTTAGTGAAGTGTCTCGTGTGGAGTCCGTACCAAGAGGCAATTGCCTGCTCTCACGCCGGGCACTGCTCGCTCCGTGCCAGGCTCGGAGATCTGCTCCAGATAGAAATATGGGGGCGTTGGACAGGGGACAGAGCTTGCACACGCTGGGTGTCTTGGCAGAATGGCTCTGCATGCATCCGCCACACAGTTTAACTGGCTGGCCCCTTCTCCCTTCTCCCCTTTTCTTCCCTTCCTTTTCTCACTCGAAGGCGATGCGCTTCTTGATGCTGGCGAATCTATGAAGCGGTTGGCTGAAGTGAAGGACTCTCTGGATATTGAAGTCAAACAAAATTTTATTGATCCCCTCCAGAACCTGTGTGACAAAGACCTGAAAGAGATCCAGGTAAACACCTCGATGTTTTTCCCTCCTCCTCACCTCTTTCGTTTCTGGCCTCTTCTCACTATTAGTGCACGTAACTGCTTGCTCTGTCGTGGTGGGAACCAAGGACTCGCATAAGTATCGGGTCTGTTCCCCTGCACTGTGTGTGCTGTCTCTCTCCGGATTCACGAGTATTTCCTCCCTGCTCAGCACCACTGCTGCTGCTGCTCCTGAGCAGCTCATAAGGCTGGATGCAGATTTGAACGGTTCTTCATTTACCGTGTTTTATGGAGGATGCCGTGGGAGTATGTCCCAACATGCATCCTGGCCTTGCTGAATTTGGTTCTTTGGGCTGTGAGCTCCCAGCCGTGCTAGATTTGGGCTGCCTGGCATTAAATTTCACAATGTTGTCTCTATTCTGTTAGTAGCCTGGGTCCTACAACATAACCTTTCAAGTTATGAGCTAGCTTCCTCTAGGTCTCTTAGGCAGCATCTCAAGAAGGCCCTTCGGTGTCTTGCTGGGGAGACATGGAGCTTGGTAATTCTCCTGTGCTGCCACAGAGACAAGTCCATGCAAAGCACGGCCAGGCTTTGTAATAGGATCCATCCCAAACTGTAATTCACAAAGCAGCTCTCTCAAGTGAATTTTCGCTTACAGTCGTGTCCCAGATAAAATAACTGCCAACTACTGTTTCAGCACTTATCTGTACTCCAATTCTGCAGGCTGCCATAGAGCTAATTTAAACAGCCCTGCCCTAAGCAGTCAGGAGATTCAATGCCCAGAACTTGTATCCCAATTCCTCATCTCCAGAGATCCCCATTGCTCCTGGGGAGCTGAAAGAAGCAGGCCAACTCTTCATCTTCCTGAAAGGCTTGCATGGGGAACAGATCTGGGCTGCTCCCTGCAGTGTTTTCCTCCAGCTCTTGGCTGGAAGGGGGTGAAATCACATCCTCACGCCGATTTGTTGAGGGTTGTTTCTCAGTAAAAAGCCACCACGGGCGTGGCAGTAATCCTCTGCCAAACTGAGTTCGGACGGTCCGTTCCTCCCGGTCACCTCACAGCAGCCCTGCCTTGCTGCTCTTTACCTCCTGGAGCCTCTCCAGAGTCTGAACAAAGGCGGGAGCCACAGAAGCGTGTGCTCTGAGATCACGTTTCTGAAACAAACTTGGCCTGTAACTAGAGCTGCCTTCCAGCAGGAGAGCTTGGCTGCTCCCAGTCTGTGGCTTTTCCTTCTTTTCCATTACTGTTCATAACCACCCTCTTTCCCAGCACCATCTCAAGAAGCTGGAAGGCAGACGCTTGGACTTTGACTACAAGAAGAAACGACAGGGCAAAATCCCTGATGAAGAACTTCGACAGGCCATGGAGAAATTTGAAGAGTCCAAGGAAGTAGCAGAGACCAGTATGCACAATCTCCTAGAAACCGATGTGAGTGCTTGGGGAGAGTGTCGGCTCCTCTGCCCTGGGCTGAGAGCTGCTGGGTGGGTTGCGTACCCGAGGGTGGGATCTCTCCGAGGCACGCAGAAGTTAGACACCAATTTCCACTCTTGTTTTTGCGAGAGTCGTTTCGTTCTTTGAAAACCCAGATCTTGAGTGCCCAGCATGTGGCTTGGTGGGCCTCTTACCCTTTCTGTAGCCCCTCTTCCTGATCCAGCTCTTGGCCAGAGGAGAGGCTGTGGCTTGTACCAAACAGGTCTCTTCTTAGTGTGCTGGTGGGAGAGAGTTTGGGCAGGTAATGCAGCTTACTTGGGAAGGATTTGAACAGGTAGCAAAGCCCAGAGAGTGGTAGGAGGTGTCGTGTCTCTGTCCTGCTGAGTCTCGGCCAGTCCCTGACCTCTGGTGTCTGAAATCCCAAACCTTTTCCTCATCTCTCTGGGGAAGGTGCCTTTTGTACACATTGCCCAGTGTAGTCTCAGCCCCCGTGTGCAATGCAGGAGCCTTCTGTCAGCTGGGCAGCACCATTCATCCCACCTTGGTGTGATTCTCGCAGATCGAGCAGGTGAGCCAGCTCTCAGCCTTGGTGGACGCCCAGCTGGACTACCACAGGCAGGCAGTGCAGATCCTGGATGAGCTTGCGGAAAAACTCAAACGCAGGTGAGTCCCCGGGTGTGCTGTAGGCCACAAGCTCTCCCTGTGATACTCGTCTGTAAATACCTGACCATCTCTCTAAAACTGTCTTCTGGCTTCTTGCAGTCGCTAGAGCTGCAGTCCGAGCCTCCTCCAGGTCGGAGGGAGCAATGCCAGCTGCACAACCCGCTTTCAGCGACAGGCACGTTCTGACACCTGAAGCAAAGCCTCTGTGCTTGTGCCGTGGGCTGAGCCCTGCCTGAATCGGGGCGTGCTGCTCCCAGGGAGGCTGGAGTTGAATTTGGTGGGGTGGAGAAGGGTGAAATCCCCTCCATGCCAGGGCTCCTTGCACTGTGAGCGTTGAGGGTGGGAGCGTCCCCCAAGAAGTGCCTTTTGGCCAGACCCAGGATCAAATCAGAAGTTGCATCGTGCTGTTGGAGCAGACGGCTCAGGTGTCACGAGCTGGATGTGCCTGTCACCCTCTGTCACCTGGAACTGCCTGGCCAAGAGTCTTTGTGCCCTTAGCTTCAGTTGTGGTTGAGGAAGGTACCTGGACATTGGCCATGGTCGTGGCCCAGGAAGGTCCATGTTGAGGGCTCCCAGTTGCTCTGAAGGTCAGTGCAACGTGGTGGGGATGATGTGGTGGTCACAGGCCCGTGGAAAAACACCTCCATCAACTCCTTAAAGGCTGGCATCTGTGAGCCTGCCTCCAGAACCCTCATTTTCCAGCAAGCCCTACTCCCTTCTGCCTACACGGCAGCCTCTGGGTAGGCCCTGCCGCAGATGCGGCGCTGCCACACGCGCTCCGGAGTTTTGAGCCACGTGAGTGGGCGAAAGGCAGATGGGTGTCTGGCACGCAGGAGCAGGGAGAGCCACGGAGCTGCCTGGCCTTGCTGCTCTCCCTGCCCCTCCTCAAGGGCCTGACCTCCGCAGCAGCCCCTGGGGAACGTGTGGTTGCTGCCGAGGTGCCAAGAAACACAGAGGGGTGGTTGAAATGCCGAGCGAGCTGCATCCACGTGACTGCCGTGACTTGCACAGTTCTTCCTGCTGCTCTGTCTCACCTGAGCAAACATCTCCCCAAACCCTGGCCGAGGAAGGAGAAGTGTTTTCGTTGCATCTGGGGCTTCCCTGTGGAGCCGGGGATTTGCCTTCCCCAGCCTGGCGCAGGGTGACTTGGACAGAGCCAGGGCAGCCTCTCCTCTTCTCAGGGCGATTTGGCGATGCTGCCCTGTTCTTTCCTCGCGGAAGAAACTGCTGAGTGGATCCTGTGTCTGCTTTGAATTAAGACTTGCTGGGAAGATCCTGCCAAGTGTGAGTTTTCAAACTGCAGCACGAGTGTCCTCTGCTGGCCTGAATTGCCTGAGACAGCTCCGTAGCAAAGCCTGGGGCATCTGGCCCTCTCCAAGGGCCAGGTCCCAAACCCTGGGCAAGATCCATCTTCAAAAAGCCCCGGAACGGAGGGTTGTGCAGATTCTTGTCTACAAACCAATTTTCTCCCCTGCGTAGCCACTGAAGAGAACAAATATGTTGATCTCATCATATTCTGTTTCATATTTCAATTTATCTGCATTTCTTTCCCTTCTTTCCAGAATGAGGGAGGCCTCCTCACGTCCCAAGCGGGAATACAAGCCTAAACCCAGGGAGACGTATGACTTTGGAGACACTGACCAATCTAACGGGGGCTTCTCTTGCAATCCTACCCCCAAAGTCTCAGGTAAAGTTGTCCCGTGTGTGTGCACACACAGGTGCCTCCGGAGCAGCCTCCTGGGGTTAGAGGGGAGCTACTCTGCCTGGAAACGATGTTCCTGGTGTGCTGGGTGTGCCCCGCACGAGCTGGGTGGCTCTGAGAAATGTCAGAAATGCCTCTCGACTCGGGCTGTCATCTCCTGGGGCCCAGTAGCCTTCGTTGTATTGGCTTTGGGGATGTCCCAGTGGGGTCCCCAATCCAGGCCGCTCGCCTGTAGCACCCCCCAGTCAGTGCCAACAGTGGCAGACAGGAAAAATGAAGCATCTCTCGCTCCCTCCCCGTCTTCCATCACGCTGCATCCGTCCCTCCCTGGTCCCGGCGAGGCAGGCGGGTTTCTAACACAGCATGTAGGCCGCCCTGTTTCTCCTAACAGATCCTCCCTTCGGCCCCTGCCTTTCCCTCTCTCCAGTTCACGTTGTTTTAAGCATGTCTCTTTTTGTTTGGAAGCAGCTTCCTCCTCTTTCCGATCCGACAAGCCGTCCCGGGCCTCCGTCAGGAGTATCCGTGAGTTTCCTCCCTCCGCACTGCATGATGTGTGACCATCTCTCCCCGTCCCTCCTCGCTCCTCCTTCCGTGACGCTGCTGCTTGGAGCTGCTAATACCTCCGTGCTGAGCCTGGCCAGCAAGACAGCTAAGCTAAGCTGAGCTAAGCCTTGAGCTAAGCCCCAAATTAAAACAGCCACGCTGTATTGGTATTTACCATTCCAGAGCTGGGGCCTTTGCTCACCCGGAGGAGTTGTAGCAGCTATCATCACGCAGGCATGTCCTGCGTGAGGCCACAGGGGTCCGATGCTCTTCCACGAGGTATCAGACACCTCGAGGATTAACCTGGTCTGGTTACAAGCACCGCAGCTTGGATCTCTCCCACTCCTGCTCGTGCTGCCCCCCGCCCCTCCCCGCACCTCACTGCTGAAGGCTGGGGGGAGCGGGTAGAGCCTCGGCACGCTCAGTGGGTTTTGTGGTCCCAGCTAGGCAGCGAGGAGCCTCGAATGGGTTGTGGGGTGACGTGGGGTCCGTGGGGCAGCGTTTCTGCTGAAGGGTCCCGTTGGGGTCCCATTGGGGTCCCGAGGCCAGGCTGGGTCTGTGGCTCGGAGGCATCACGGTGGGGAAAGCTCGTGGTGGTGCAGCAAGGGAGCAAGAGGACTCGATGGTGCCTGGGGTAGGGGAAGTGCCGTGGTGGTGGGACCAGCCTGGTGTTTCAGGAAGTTGTCCCAAAAACATGAACCTGCTTGGTGGCCGCTTTTGGTGTTTTCCGAGTTCTCTTCTAAGGGTGGGTCCTTTCTTGCTGTGGATATTCAGCAGACCAGATGCGCTGGCTGCCCGCCGTTCCGTTCCCCTTGCCCTGGGGAGCTCTACCAGAGCCACCGGGCAACGGGGGCCCCACAGACCCTGCTGGTCTGTATTAGCTCGGTCCCTTTTCGGTAGGATCCCTACATCTGCCTGCCCCTCCCAAAACGTTAGTGCACAGAGCAGGCAGCAGCTTCCCCTGCTATAAAAATACCCCCTTTCCAGTCAGAAGGTCTGGTGCTTAAATCGTGGAGCTGAGATGTTGGAAAGAGACTGATTTTTCTCCCCATTTTTTTTGGGGGGGGGGGCTCACATGCTTCACCAAGCTGCTAATTGATTTGAAGCCCTCTGCACCGAGAGGCAGTCGCAGTCCTCTCCCTCCCATCACCCTCAGTTTTGGGGTGACCTCTCTAAGGGAACCCCCCCTCCACCACATACTGCTATCAAACCCCGTTGTTGACCAACTGATGAACTGCACAGCAGCTTCTCTCATCTCTGGAGAAATAATGTTGTGGCTTTTCTAATCTAATTTAGGTTGGAGTTTAGCTTAGAGCAGGGGAAGTCCAGGCAGGAACAGGCAGCACAGGGTGGTGGAGGCAGGGGTCTGCTTTGGGAGAAGCTCACGATGTGGTTGCAGCAAGAAAGCAGAGAAATTTAGTGAAGTAATTTCCAGGGAGGAGTTGAAAGCAAGTTAATGCTTTGCCATCGTGGGGGCAAAGTGAAGGGCCAGCGTCTCCCGGGCACGCCGGGTTGTGGCAGAGCCGATGAGCCCGCGCGGGGGCCGGAGCCGGCCAGCATCCCCGGCGTGGGCAGAGCCCGGGGGCTTGAGGGCAGGGGGGGCTGTGCAGGGGCTCCGGCTCACCTCTGCCCCCACCTCTCCACGCAGCCCCCCTGGACCAGCCCTGCTGCAAGGCTCTCTACGACTTCGAACCTGAAAACGACGGCGAGCTGGGCTTCAAGGAAGGCGACATCATCACCCTGACCAACCAGATCGACGAAAACTGGTACGAGGGCATGATCAACGGCCAGTCGGGCTTCTTCCCCCTCAACTACGTGGAAGTGCTGGTTCCGCTACCTCAGTGAAACGGCATCGCTCCTGTCCCCCCTCCGCTGGCGCGGGGCCGAGCCTCCATTCCACCTCCATCCCGACAGGGCCCTGTCCGCCGGCGGGGCTGTGTTATCTCTGCGTCGCCTCGGGGCGAGATTGCCACCAGGGAACAAGCCAGAAGGGTCAGACGGCCCTCTTACCCTCTGTGAATTTGGTTATTTTGATTTTTTTTTTTTTTTTTTTGTCCTTCTGGTGCTTGAACTTCGGTACTTTGCGCGCCCTGCCAAGCCCACCCCCTCCCCGGCTGTACGATTTGTCGCAGGCCTCTCCTCCTTTGGGTCGAGCATCGAGGTGGGAGAGAACGGGATGCAGCCTTCACACCGAGCATCAGCGTGGGGACGCACGCAGCCCGGGGGTGAGAGTGGGGGGGCAAAGCAGCCCCCAGCCTCACCCAGGGGCACAGCCTTCCCCCCCACACCCCCCCACACCCCATTGAACACTACCCCTCTCCCCATTCCCGGGGGGCTCGGGGTGGGGGGATACCGTGGCACAACAACACTACGACACCCATCAAACACTAAGCCAGCCCCGCGGCGCAGGTGCTGAGCCCTGCCTGGGGCTCGGTGCCATCCCCCCCCCCCCCACCCCGGAGGGACAGAGCAGCGCTGGCCCCTGCCCGCCGTTAGCCCCCTCCCCACAGAGCTCGACTCCAGAGGGGGTGGCTGCTCCCTTCTGCCCTTTTATTTTAAATATTTTACGTCAGGTTGCTTCTGGACAGTGGGTTTTTTGTCCTATAAACTCTCCCATCAGAGCTGGGGGGTAATTTTGGGGGAATGGGGCCGCAGCCCGGGGTCTGCCCGCCGCAGGGCAGAGCAGGTCGTGGTTCCTCTCCCCGCGGCTGCGGGGCCGGAGCTCGGCTGATCCTCATGTGCCTTTCCTGCCCGCTCTGCCCCACCGTGACCCTCCTTTTGGGGGGGGTGGGGGGTGGGGGGGGAGGGATGGGGAGGGGAGCAGCGTGTCCCTCTGCCCCCAGCTTTGGTGGGAAAAAGTATCGTACAGCTGGGTGCTGCTTCTGCCACCCCCCGGCATCCCCGCCTGCCCCTTCTCGTGGGGGTTGGGATGGGGCCCGGCAGCGGCAGCGCTCGCCCCGTCTCTCACTTGGCTCCGTGGTTTTCTTTGCTAGAAAAGTGGGGGGTTTTTTTTCCCCTTCCCTCAGCCTTGGCTGGGTTCTGGCACCTCTCCTCCATCCCCGCCCGACCGGGGGCCGAGCCCCAGCTCGGCACCGGGCCCGTGCCGCAGCACGTCCCTGCCCCTGTCGCTCCCGGCTCCTGTTACAGTCACACAGCCCCTTCTCAGTGATTTTAGCCGTGCATGTCGCTGTATGTCCGATCCCCTGCCGCGCCGCGCTCCGAGCGGTGACCCCGGTTGGGTTGGGGGACACGGGGCAGCTTCCCCCTCGCTCCCAGCAGCGCAGGGAGCCCAAGGGACCGGTGTCCCCTCGCCGGTGGGGACCGGGGTCACGTCCCGGGAATTCTGGCTTCGGCTCAGGTGGATTGAAATGCGTTTTGTCAGCTGGGACAAGTTGTTAAGACCTTTTTTTGTAATGGTTTCTCCTGGTTTATTAGGGGAAAAAAAGACGACCCACAAATCTCGACTTGTATCTCTGAATGAAAGTATTAAATGTTTTCTTCTTTCTAACGGCTGCCTCCTCCGCGAGTGCGAGACCGGGATCTGGGGGGGGGGGGGGGGACCCAGCGGGAGGGAGGAGCAGCCCTGGATGAGCATCCCCGCCCCCGATTCAGCCCCCAAAACCAGGCAGCTGGATGGTGGCTGCGCCCCGCGGGACCACCAGCACCGTCCCTTATTGCAGCACCAGCAAGATGTCCCCAAGCCGGCAGAGCCTCACGGGAACTGCTCTTTAATCAACTACCACTTCCACCAACGACTCACAGCCGAGACGCCCACCAACCACCCTCCCCTCCGCCGCTGCCGTGGGACACCCGGGCAGGAGCCGGCGGGGTCCCGGGACCCCTGGGGTGAGCTCCCTGGAGCAGTGGGCGATGCGGTGTCCCCCCCACAGCGCTGCCCTGCGCCGCGTCTGGATGAGCCCCTTGGGTCCCTTGCTGGGAAGGCACCTGGTCCGAGTCGCGGGGTTGGGGGGGGGGGGCCCGGCCCCTCAGCCGCTGAGCTTGAGGAGGCTGTAGATCTGCTCCAGGATGTGGGTGAAGCTCTGGTCTTTGGGGGTGCGGGCAGCCAGGGAGCCCTGAGATGGGGACGCAGCCCAGTTAATTAAAACTGGGGTGGCTGGAGCTGATCCCCCAGGTAAATCCCCCACCCAGCCCAGTGGAGGAAGCCTCCCTCCCCACCTTCAGCTTGTCCAGGTAGGTCTGATCCCGACTCCACAGCTCCTGAAACTTCACCAGGTCCGGGGCTCCCTTATAAAACTCCACCAGCAGTGTCTGGGGTGGGGGGAGAGAGGGGCTTCAGGCACTGGGGCTGCCCCGGGGTCGGGCATGTGCCCCCCTCCCCCCCCGACTCCTGCAGCACCAAGACCTCGGCAGCACGGTGGGGATGGAGAAGAGATTGTCACCGTCACCGGGGCCAACAGCAGGATGGGGACGGGTGGTGGAGGCCCAGCCAGCCCCCGATGGGGTTGGAGAATTGTCCTTGCTGGGGTGGATGGGGTTTTGGGGGCCCCCCACCCCACGCTCACCATCTCCTGCAGGACATCGTTGGTGAGGAAGCCGTCCTGGATGTAGGCCACCTCCACGTCCATGGGGATGCCGTAGTCATTGGGCCGTTGCTGGAGGACGGGGGAGCGGGGGGTCACCCCACAGCACTGGGGCCACCCCCACCCCAAATACCACCACCCCCCCTCCTCCCGCGGGGCTGGTGACCACTCACCTCCGGCGGTGGCATCACCCAAAAGGGCGCGATTTTGGACTCCACGCCAGGGTTGCCGTGATAGTAGGGTCCTGGGGGGGGGGTGGGGTGGGGGGTGCACAGAGACGGGGCTGGCACGGGGTAGGGGGGTGACAGCAGCCCCAGCACCCCCGGGACCGCGGGGACCGGGCGCTCACCGCAGATGAGGGCCAGGCAGGGCTGGAAGCCGTTGCCGCTGCCCTGCAGCTTGAGCTGATAATCCATCTGCGCGTCGATGTCGTGCAGGGAGGGCAGCGCGGGGCCGAAGGGGTGGCTGTGGTACCAACCCACCAGTGACAGCCCCCGCAGGAACAGGCTCTGGCAGATCTGGGATGGGTGGACACCGTGGCTTCGGGTCCCCTGGGACCCCCCCAGGAATGCCCCCCCCTTTTGCCCCCCTTGCCCCTTCCTTCCCACCCCCGGGGCTGCTTTACCTCCTCCTCCACGGCGCCGGCGGCCTCGGCATCGCCCAGGCGGGTCCGGCACGGGAAGGCTCGCAGCACCGTCAGCACTGCGAGGGACACACACACACACACACACACAGAGGGGTGGGTGTCTCTGTCATAAGCTTGGGGGGGGGGGCCACCCACCCACCCTGCTACCTACGCTGCGTGTTGGTGTCCCACCGCCCACCCAGGTAGCCCACCACCTCGCTCCGTGTCAGGTGGCTGTGGAAATCCTAAAGAAGAAAGGTTAAAATCACCAGTTTGACTTCAAAATGATGCTGGGGGATGTCCCCAGCGCCACCAGAGATGTCCCAGCCCGTCCCCCCCCCGTCCCCCCCCGTCCCCCGGGGAAAGGACGCACCAGGAGCAGGAGGACATTGCTGGAAATGGCCACGTTGAAGGGCTGGAACTTGTTGATGGCGGCAAAGGACGTCACCTCCACCAGAGTCTGGGGGTTTCTGGAAGAGCCGCAGCCCCGCTGCCCCAGCCACCCCACCCCCCCACCCCCCCTGCCCTGCCCCCACGGGGCCGGCGGTGGCACCCGTGGGGCTCAGGTCCCCGTCACACCCTACCTGGCCGAGTCGCGGGTGCCCAGGGTGCAGTACCGGACGGGCACCCGGGGTTTGCTCTCCAGCCTTTTCCCCGGGGGGCCGTGATCTACGAAGCACAACGCCCCGTCACCGCTGCCGGGCTGCCCAGGCTCCCCCCGGGGACCCCCCCCCCCCCGGTGTCACCTTACCCGGCTCCACCAGGCTCTTGCACTGCTGCTTTTTGCTCCTTTCCTCCAGTTTTTTGACAGCCGCCGGCTCCGGCACGGGCCCCCGACCTTCCCTGGGCGCCTCCTCCTCTTCCTCCTCGGGCATCTCCTCCTCCTCGCCCTCGCTGGCCAGGCTCTGCGGGCAGCACAGGGCTGGCACCCATACCCCGGGGGAGGGGTGGGTGGGGGGGGGCACCCCCGAGGGTCCCAGAGTGGGGGGTCCCGACCCACCTCCTCGGCGGGCGGCGCGTTGGGCTGGTGCTTGCGCAGCCAAGCGGCTTTATACTGGTCCAGCTTCTGTCCCTTGTAGCGGACGGACGCCCAACCGCACCCCGACTTCTTGGCGGGGTTCACCAGGCGCTTGCAGTGGGTGGCCCAGGCGCTGGGCGAGTTGAAGACCTGTCCCGTCTCCTGCCAGGTGATGGTCCCGTCCGCCCCCAGGTCCCCCACGAACTTCTTACCCTGGGGAGGACGGGGTGAGCTGGGGGGGGGGGGGGGCGCGGGAATCACCCCCCCAGCCCCAACCCCCCCCCCACACACACCCCCAAGCCGGGTGTCCCCGCGCCGGCCGGGCTCACCAGGTAGTAGATGGAGAGGACACCGCGGGCTGGTTCGAGGAGCCCGTCGCGGAGCAGGACGCGGAGGGTGATGCCGCGGCGGGTGAGGACGGACCCCCGCGGGCCCCCCGCCGCCTTCGCCCCGCTCCCGGCCTCCGGCTCGGCCTCCGCTTCGTCCAGCCCCAGCTCCAGCTCATCCTCATCCTCCTCCAGGCACTCGTCCCCGCCGGGGGAGGCGGCTGCCAGTGCTGCGGGATGGGACACGGGGGGGGGGGGGGTGTCCCCTCACTGGGGGCAGCAGGCGTGGGTGTGTCCCCCCCCTTCTAAGAGCACCCTTGGGGGTCCCGTCTGTGTGTGTGTGTGTCCCCCCCCCCGCCCTCGTGGGTGGGTGTGGATGGGGACACTGGGACTGGGATGCGCAGGGATGCAGGAAGGGGGGACAGGAGGGCACGGGGGGGGGGGGGAGGATGATGGACACAGGGACAGGGGGGACAGTGATGGGGTCACAGGGGGGGTGTGGGGACACGGGGACGAGGCTCCCCTGGCCCTGCGGGTCCCCAGAGCCGGGTCTGAGCCCAGAGGGGCGCGGGGACACACGGACACACACACACGGACAGACACACGGACACGGGCCCCTGGGGGAGCACGGCCCCGCCCCCGCCCCGGGCCTGCCCCACGGGTGTCCCGGGGTGCCCCCCCACCCCGTGGGTGCCCCGAGGGTTTCGCGTGTGTGGGAGCGCTTCGCGTGTGCGTGGGAGCATGCGCGGGTACACACGTGTGTGCGGCGGTGGAGGGGGGGGTGGGGGGGGAGCGGGGGTTGCGCGCAGGTGCATGTGCGCGCGCGCGCGCGTGCCCCGAGTGTGTGCGTGTGCGCACGCCGTGCGTGGGGGGGGTGGGGGTGGGTGTATTTGGGGGAGGGGAGGGGGGGGGGGGGTGCCCGGTGCGGTACCTGTCATGCTCCGCTCCCGCCGCTCCCGCCGCTCCCGCTTCCCCCCCGCACCCCCCCCCGCACTTTCTCCCTCCCTCCCCCCCCCCCCCCCCCAACCTCGGCGGCGGCGCCACGTGATGGGGCGGCCCCGCGCGCCCCGCCCCGCCCCTCCCGCGGCAGCGGCGGGGGGGGGGACGGACACACGGACACACACATCACACGGACACACATGACACACACACACACATGACACACACACGACACGCACACCGGCACCGGGGACCGGGCACGGGAATCTGCGGGGGGGGGGGGGGGGGACGGGGACACGAGAACCCCACCCCTGCCGCACCGGCGGGGGGGGGGGGGGACACATGGACACATGGGGACACAGCCCCGGGACCGACCCCCGCACCCCCCGCGGCCGACCCCCGGCACCGCCCGGGACCCCCTGGCGCTGACCCCCCCCGGGCACTGATTCCGCCCCCGCCCCAGTCCCCCCCGCCGAGCCCGGGGCCGTCCCGCAGCGCTACCGGAGGGTCTGGGCCGGGCTGCGGGGGGGGGGGGGGGGGGCCGGGTACTGCGAGGGACGGGACGGGGGGGTCCGGGTAGGACCCCTGACACTGGGACCCCCGGGTGGGCTGTCCTGGCTGGGACCCTTGAGATTCCCTCAGGGTGGGACACCCCCATGAGACAGCCTCGGACCCCTCCGTGGGACCCCCCCCCCCGAGGCTGCAGACACCCCCAGACTGTGACACCCTCTGGGTGGGCACCCCCGAGTGGGACTCCCGTGCTTGTGACCCACTCAGGGTGGGCGCCTCCAGCCTAGTACCCCCTGGGCTGCGACCCCCAAGGTGGGACCCCTGGGGTGGCACCCGTGGGTGGGACGCCCAAGCCAGGACCACCCCCAAGGGTGCGACCCTAAGGTGGGACCCCAAGATTGGGACCCCCCCTCTAACCTGGGACCCCAAAGACACCCCTGAGCCAGGACCCCCCTCAAGTTGGGCTTCCCCAGGATGGGACCCTGTGCCCCTGCCCCCCCCCCCCCCCCCTCTCCCCAGCTGGGACCCCTGAGGTGGGACCCCCCCCGG